AAAAAAAAAAAAAAAAAAGAAAAAAGAAACAAATGAAAACAGATCACAGCTACATGTTTATGTTTACTATTTTATCAATCACGCAAAATTTTACTACAGAACTCATAATAAATAGAAAAAAAAATAAATAATAAATTTTGTATGTCAGTGTACTTGAAGCATTTGAGTTTAAGTGAATGATCTACACAACGCCGAAGCATGCACATTTATAGTGTAGTTTCATTTTTCATTTAAAAAATGCAGCTGTGTGATTTATCATACAATAAGCTAAACTTAAATCTAAACCACGCTGCTGTGATCTCACCTTGAATTTGTTTTCACTCCTGCCTCAAAGTCTGAGACACGCTGATATATAAAGTTTGAAGATCTAAATTTGCTGAAATGAGAAAGAAACTCTTGGTGTAACTTATTGAAAACTTATATATGAGATGGCCCTATCCTGCGTCCCTGCCATTCTGTCTGTTTGCTCCTCACTAAATAAAACTTTAAAGTTTTATACAAATTTAATTTTTGAAATATTCATATAAAACAAACTATTCGACAAGAATTTTAATAAGTGTTGAGTTTAGAATTTAACGAATAATGTTAAAAATTATATTGTTTTTTATATTAACACTTTTTACAAATACACTTACAATTTGAAAAGGATATATCACTGCATATTCATTTTGTGTGTGTGTATTTTTTTAAATATTATATGCTCATAAACATACCTGTGTAAAAAAGAATTAATGTCCAGTGTTAGCATTAAACAATTCTTCACAAATTTCTACTAACTTCTTAAAATTTATTAAATATTATTTATTCAATAAAAAAAATTATACAAACCCATTATCTGAATGTATGGAAGAATGAGTATCTCAATCTAAAAATATAATTTTAATAAGAATAATTAAAGTGTTCAAAGATAAATAATATGATAACTTTAAAAAAATTTAAAGTTATCCTAATTGCATATATTAATAGCTGAAACATATAATGATAATGTCTGCTGCAAAAACATGTAAAGCATCTAAAACTACAAAGATATTTGTGATTTTTTTATATGATTATTAATATTCAATATTTTACTTAATGAGTTTTATTTTTAGGTCAATTTATTGATTAATGATAAAATAAAGGATTTATTATGATAGATGAAACATGACAAAATTTAAAATTTTTTTGTATTTCAAATAATATGTATATATATGCAATATATATATATATGTATATACATACACACATATGTGCATGTATATAAAATACAACAAATATATATATATATATATATATATATATATATATATATACACATACATACATATATGTATTTATGTATGTATTCGCAAATACATGCATATCTAATCTGTATTTCATAGTATTTTTTATATTAAATATAATTATTAAAAATGATTTTATTTTAACGAAGATATTTAAGATTAAATAATGAAGATAAAGGAAATTATTTATTGAAACAAAATTTTGAAAATGCTATTATATTTCCTATCATAAATTATTATGTTTTTCCTATTCTTGTGAAAGTCTATTCTTATTAACTTAAAAATATAACAAATTAAAAATAAATTGTAATTATAGAAAATTAGTTAAAATATTTAATATATAAATAAATCATCATGTAAATTAAATTAAATTAATCTAATCATATTAGATATAGCTGATAATAGTAATCAGCAAACATTGAAAAATGTAGCCTTAATTTATTTGTTATAATATTATGAAATAAACAAAAGAATATGTCAGCAAAAAGTGACATTCACTAAAGACAGATGAAAAAACACATTGTGTGCAGATTTATTACTATATGCACATCGTGCTCTTGTGATTGGCAAAAGTATGAAAAATAAGTATGAATAAATAACTATCACACACAGATGTATATGAATTTTAAAAATGTTGCATGAAGAAATTATTAAATACTTTATACACAATCACACTTGTATGTGGAAACTATAAGGAAATGTATAAATATTTGTAATGTGACTACATAACATTCATGAAAATTATATGATGTTGAAGCAAACATATTAATGATTAGAAATCTTGTGAATTATTTCTGCCAGTAAATGCAAACCACAGACAGGATGGTAACCAGGACAGTGTATGGATAGGGGCAGGTTTTTAAATATCACAAGATTTTTCTTAATGGCAACACCAACTCTAATATTTTTACTTACCCCCCAATCGTTTGAAGTTTAGTTGATTCAAGTTGACGTGCTGCTTCTTCTGTTCTTTTTAAAAGCAATACCTACGACATACATATAAAATATTGATATCAAATATATTTTTATTAAATTTATAAATTTATATATATATATCTATATAAAATGCATATATATAAATATATAATTTTATATTGTCATAAAATATTTAAAAAATATCAAGTCTCTTATTTTCCCAACTTATTTTATAATTCACCTTTTGCGATAAGTTTCTAAAGTGCATTTCTTGGAGCATGGTACTGTGACGATGTAAATTTTCATGACGGGAGATAGCCAGCAATACTCCTCGTTCAGGCACATATCGGCACACTGCCGCCCCTATCGCTTTTTGAAATTCCTTATGTGCATTTTCCATTTTGGCACTATATTAAGTAAGATATTTAAAATATATATTATAAATATTTCTTAGCTTTTTATAAAATAATAGTTTGATATGATACATACAATTCTCTTAGATCTTCAGGTACTTCTATTTCGATCTTATGAAATGTATTTTTATCAATAGGAGGATTAGGATTTTTTGCCCTCAGTCGTTCACTAGCTACAATTTCAGTATAAGCACATTCCCATCCCGAATATTCAACTACTTGAAAACCTCCTTTACTCATCTAAAATGATAATTTCATTTGTAATATTTTATATATATATTTATTGCACTGTAATAAATCTCATATATGTTGGAAAATAATTTTTCATTTACCTTAATGATTGCTTTCCACCATCCACATGCTTCATGCTCATTGGACCTAGAAAATACTTCAATCTCCATATTTTCAGAAAATTCTGGTTTTTGACCATCTGTTGGAGGTAGACGTACTTGAGCAAATGGAAATTTTGATTCCGGTTGCCAACTAAAATACAGTCAATAGTTATAAATTATCTCTGAATATTTTGAATAATATTGCAAAATTATAAAATTTATTAAATATATAATATTAAGATTATAATAAACTTTAACAGAAGGATATATATCTTTAAATATTATTCAATAAACCATATTTAATATATATAAAATGTTTATTATTTAATATTTATTGCGTTTATATGTATAAATATTTATTCCTTAAAATTATAATTTTATAAAATAATATATTGTCATTTTTTTTGTTCATTGACATATTATGTTACATTACTTATTCGATTTATAATCAAATAAAATAGAATTTTAATATATCTCATTCTACATATTATAATTTGTATATATTTAAAATTTAGACTAATATAAATATGTGTAATAAAAAAAACAATATAAAAATTTAATAATTTATGTATGATCATTTATATTAAATTTTTAAATACTTTCAGTAACATTTTAAGCATTTAATATAATTTTTACTATTAACATATATATAGAAATAAATGTATAAAAAAAATTTTAAAAGTTATAATTAATCAAATAATGATAACAAGTAATATCCATAAATATTATATAATTTTTGGAACTGTTGATGCAGGTATTAGAAATATTAGACTTCCTATAGCTGATAAAAATAGTATAATTCTTGTGCTCAAGAGACTACACTGTTATTAATTCAGAGTATCAGGGTAAATGTTCAAATATATTAGCAACTAAACTGTTTTTAAAAAGTAGAAAAAAAAACTTACTCATTTTCAAATGTTACTAAAACCTCGTCCTCAAAGACATCTGTGACAAAGGCCTGAAAAAATGAAACATAAAGCATATAAATTCATTCGTACAAGAATCACAGGTATAATGAGTAGCGTAAGACATTCGGACATAATACCGCGATACTTTCGGGATACGCTAGAAAGTGGTGTTTTTATAATTCTGATATTAAAGATATGCGTTTTTATGAATTGGGAAAATGTTGAGACGAATCGCAACATCAAAAGCTGACGAAAATCACGCCCTGTCAAACGAGACATGGCGTCGGAGGAAGCCGCGTTACCTCGCGAACATTTGAGGGCCGCGCTTTCGCGAAGTACGGGCGTCTCTTTTGTGAGATTAGAACCGCGCCATGGGCCGTAAGTTAGTCTATCCACGGCCTCAATCTTCCGCCCTGTTTTTTGTATACTTTTCACAGAACGAACCTTATAATATACTCCGTTTTCGCCGCATACTTCGACTGTGAGATCCTCCATCTTGCTTTTGTGTGACGGCTCGCCTCCTTTGCAGCAGGCATGCTGGCGAGCGGGCAGCTGCACGAGTTCGAGGCTGCAAATTCGTTGTTCACCAATCGTACAACTCTTTTCCATGATGCAGCCTCTTTATTGGATGGATTCAGGCAGTGTTACCACTTTCACATCGCTAATTTACGTTTGAAAGAACTAGGATAATTGAAATACGCACCAGTGCATTCAGCACAAAACTGTGCACTTGTGTAACCGCTATTAGAAGTCAAATCATGACTTCGTGCCGCTTACGATCCTGTGGCCGCTTCTATCTGGCCCTAGTGTTCGCGATTTTGCGAAACGCGTGACGTGCCTTGACAGTACCGATGCGGAGAAGAGTATTATTACCAATCACTCAGTGCAGACGACAATGTCTGGAAGCAGCGATTCCGAAGAATTTTTTGATGCAGAGGATGATACTTTTCATCATAATGCACGGTAATTTTTTAATTTATTTTATTAAAAATTTTATTTCGAATATAATTTTTTCGTATATATTGAACATTTAATAAAAAATATTGTTACATAAATTATATATATCTAGTTTAGATATAACTAGAAAATTATTTATTATAAAATTTGATTTCCAATTTTCATTCTTTTTAATTCGATATATCTCAATTAAAGTTCTTATATATACAGAAATTTTTTTCAAATCGTTTTTATATATCTAATTTTTATTATCGTATCATGTTCTTAGTAATTATCTTTGGTTAGGTTTGAATTTAAATACTTATATCAGATATTCATATAATCGTATCAAATTATCACAATTGGTAAAATTTATAAATTTTTTATGGATCTAAATGTTAATATTGTTAATTTAGGAGATTTTAAAATAATTTTGTTATTGTATAGATATATTTGAAGAATTATTTAATATTAATTTATTTAATAAATCATTTATTTATTTTAATACAATTACATTTTTTAAATTTTAATATTTGTTTACATAATTCCAATTATTTTATTTATTTAGAGTTTATAATATGATATTTAGAAAAATTTTATGCATATTCATTTTTTATATATTATTCAAGTATGAATATATATATTCATATATATTCATTCATATATAATAAAATAGATATACAAATAAATTTATGATATATAAATAAATTAACATTTTGTTAAAATAATATATTTCTTATTTTATATTTCATATTAAAAAAATTATTTTTATAATTAAAATATTTGGTTCTTATAGGAAAAATAAACAACGTGATTCTATCAATGTTGAAACACAAAGTAAGGATACATCAGAATCATCCAAAAAAATGGATGATGATGTTTTTGTGAAACCTGCTCAACCTAAACCAATTGTAGAACCAAAGGAACATATAATGATAGAATGTATAGTTAATAAAGATAAAAATGTAAGTAATTGTCAATATTAATATATATATATATATATTTACCATTCTATTAATGTTTAATAAAATTTATTTATTTAAATAGGAAGAAAATGGGAAAGATTTAAGTACCGATAAAAGTATAGGTAGAAGAAGATTTCGTGAACTCAGACAACGTATGCAAACAGAAGATGATGATATTGCAATTAATAGTTCCCCTCCAGATAGTCAAACATCATCAATCGAGGGTGTTTATCCTACTCCTTCAAAGACAACGCATCCATTTAGGATTATAGAACATGATACCCTTAGTTTACAAAGCATGACATCTTTAGGACGAGTGGGACGAATTTTGGCTGGAGTTGGGGACAGTGCATCTACTACACTTGCACCAAATGTAACCCAGTGTCCCCCTTCTGCCATCCTTACCCGTGAAAGCCAGATGTCCTCCATTGCTAGTATTCCAAGCAAAGACGAGGACACAGCATCTGGTAAGGTGTCCCAGTCCTCCAGCATCCTTACGTTATCAGGGGATATCCTTCAGGAATCCTCTGTTAACAGTAGGTCCAATTATATTTCTCACTCACAAAATGATAAGACTGTTATGCTTCAAGAACCTGATGTCATCGCTAGTACAAAGAATAATGGAAAATCAAATGAAGATATTACTATGGTTGGAATACCTGTTGCACCACCAAGACGTAAAAAAAAGTCAAAAGTTCAAACACCTTCTGATCTTGCAGTACGATATTTATTAATATAATAATGCTACAGTAAAAAAGATATTTTGTAAAATTATTAAGAATAATATTAATAATAAAACAAATAAATATAGATTTATGATTTTAGCCTTCTACAACGGAATCGGTATTATCAGCGTCGCCGTTACCAAGTCCTGCAAGTACTATCGAATCCATTACCAGAGAATTTGAACATTCTCTTGATATTCGATCTGCAACGAAAGGACAATATGTTGTTAAACCACAAGTAATATTATATATTTGTAAAATATAACTTTAAAATATCAAATCAAATATAAATTGTTAATTTTTGTTATTATTTATATAGGATGAAGATAAGTCGAAAGCCGAAGGCCCATCAACCGAAGAACTGGAAAGGGTGGAAAAAATGAAAGCTGAATTAATGAGCGTGAGGTCGAGTGACAAATCTAGTAGTCCATTGGGATCCATGTCTAATAACAGTATCGGTCGATATTCTTTAGGTCCTCATAAATTATCAGGTTTAAGTCCGCAAGGTTCAAAAGAAAGACGAAAATCGGCAGGTGATCAAGATATGGTTCAGCAATTAAACATGTTTGTAAGAACAAGAACAGATTCTGGAAAACGTCTAACAGATATGGTATATACTTGATTGAGAAAATTAGAAAATGTTAATTATTTCTTATTATACATATTATATATTATATATATTATATTATTATATATATTATATATATGTATATATTTTAATAATATTACGTTAATAATATTTTTAGGAAATCTTGGAGCAAGTAACCGTTTTAAATTTGGATACTGGAGAAAGAGTACCATTGAGTATAGCAGAAGATAAATTACCGCAATGTATTAATCCTTTATCGCTTCATATTATGAGACTTACTTCAGAATATATAAGTAATTCTAGTCTAGAAAAAGAAAAAGAAAGTGACGAAGAAAGTGTTGATAGTAAAATGTCTAGTATACCACCGGACGAAGATGTATCTGTTGGTAGAGTTCGAAAAAAAACACAAAAATTGAAACGATTCTTAGGATCTACTGTAAAAAAAACAATGGACAAAGCAAAATCTATTGCACAAGAAGTATCGCATGCAAGACATAAAGAAGATGTTATGGATATAGTAGACGAAGTATATCCTGGTGAACAGCAATACATAAAATTAAAAGCATCTAATAGTCATAAAGGACCATATGAATTTAGTTGTTTACAGCATGTTCAAGATTTGAGTGGCGAACATGTAGGTCCTGTTTGGTGTATGAAATTTTCAGTTTGCGGACGATTACTTGCTACTGCAGGACAAGATCGAGTTTTAAGAATTTGGGTTTTGCGGGATGCTTTTACGTATTTTCAAGATATGCGAACTAAATACAATGCCGAGAAAGTTAGCCCAACTCCTTCCCAAGAATCTTTGGTTTCACAACAATCTATGGAAGATCCTAATGTTGTGGCTAGTGCCTTTAGTGAAATAGAAGGGACGAAAAGTCCTTTTATGCCAAAGCCTTTTTGCACTTATACCGGACATACCTCGGATTTACTTGATGTCTCATGGTCCAAAAATTATTTTGTCTTATCATCATCAATGGATAAAACTGTTCGACTTTGGCATATATCACGAAAAGAATGTTTATGTTGTTTCCAGCATATCGATTTTGTTACAGCAATAGTATTTCATCCTCGCGATGATCGTTATTTTCTTTCCGGATCATTGGATGGTAAACTTCGATTGTGGAATATTCCAGATAAGAAGGTGGCTGTGTGGAATGAAGTGGATGGACAAACTAAATTGATTACTGCTGCAAATTTTTGTCAAAATGGAAAATTCGCGGTAGTTGGTTCTTACGATGGCCGATGTATATTTTATAACACGGATCAATTGAAATATCACACGCAAATACATGTTCGATCAACAAGAGGTAAAAATTCAACGGGAAGAAAGATTAGCGGTATTGAACCTATGCCAGGTGAAGATAAAATTTTGGTTACTTCAAATGATAGTCGTATACGATTGTATGATTTACGAGATTTAAATCTATCATGCAAATACAAAGGTTACGTTAATGTCAGTAGTCAAATTAAAGCAAGTTTCAGTCCAGATGGGCAATACATAGTTAGCGGCTCGGAAAATCAATGCATTTATATTTGGAAAACTCATCATGATTATTCTAAATTTTCAAGCGTACGTAGAGATCGAAATGATTTTTGGGAAGGTATAAAAGCTCATAATGCCGTAGTGACATGTGCAGTATTTGCACCAAATCCAGATAGTATTATTAAACAAATTGAAGAGAGAGAACATTGGGAAAATAAAGAGGATGCAAAATTAGGTAGTTCAACCGTAGATGTTCCTCCCGTTGATCCTGTGGTCGAGCAGCGTACTAAAGGCTGTGGTGGACATGTCCTTGTGAGTGCAGATTTCAATGGCTATATAAAGGTTTTTCTAAATAAAACAAAACCTAAACATAGTTCTTTACCAGCATCTGCTCTCGCGTAACACAACATTAGATTGATTTATGCACTATTGTTAAAACAAAAAAGATAAATAAGAACACCAATATTACATACAAATATTTGTTTTACCTCAGTGAATTATATAGAACTCGCTGTATGCTGTTTTTAAGGTAAATACTTTTAAGGTATTAAATACTTTCGAAAACAGAATATTTTGAGATGCATGCCAAAAGGCTTACTTCACAATAAGAAAGCTTCTATAAGATAGTTAGGATTATTAAAATATATAAATTTGTGATGCTCAGGCAATATATATATATATATATATATATTTGTGTATATATATATATATTTTTTTTTTATTATTAAAATAAGCAACAAAAATATCTCTTTTATTTATTATAGATTAAATAACATTTATAATTTTTATTAAAATTTTAAGTAAATAATACAAACCGTATCAATATAATTTTATAAGATATTGTATTTTTAACACTTTTTTAAATTTGACATATTTTTATTCATTTTTCTTTCTTATATTATATCTTTTCGGTGCTGGTTCACTGTGGTCATGAATACGTGAATGAAATCTTGCCGAAATTATGGTTAATGGAATTGTTCGTTTTGATTATATCTATCAACAGAAAGAGCACCTTGGTGAAGAAACAAAGTATAAATAAAAAACAAGCACGCAAGCAATGGCCGAATATAGAACAATTAACGAATTGTATGAATAACCATTAATTTATATACTTGATGATCCATCATTAGGCCATCAATGTTGGATAGTATTTAGAACGTTTCATGAAAATCAAATTGGATTTTCAAATCCTGATGGTTTCTAAAATGTCTTAGAACTTTACCATGATAAGATAGCGTAATACATCGAAGACAATATATTAATTAAAAAAAAAAAAACCAAAAAAAAAACAAAAAAAAAAAAAACAGTGATTTGAAGTTAAAACGCATCGTTGTTAAGTTTTTGTACGAATATAATTCATATTTTAGAAAATTCACTACACACGTTCAAAATGAAATTTTATTAAAATATAAATTTAATTTATACGTACAGTATCAATTTAATCAATTGATGTTAGCAAAGAGTTTACCTTGTACACAAATATTACGTAAAAGTTATCATAATACTCATAATACTCGCTATGTTTAATGTTCGACACTTGAATGTCGTAACTGTCATTTTAATCTGATTTAAAGATATATGAAATACCTGTTTCGCAACGTGTCAATTATAACGGCAAAGACGTATATACCGTGTACGAGGGACGATTAAAAAGATGTTTCAAACTTTGCGATTTTACGATTCTTATGTATTTGATAAATCATGTCTTGGAGGATGATGCGCTATTCAGTCGCGTGGTGAAGTAAGATGGTTGATCTCTGTGCCACTAGCATTATAATAACTTGCACAGTCGCAAATACGATGAAACCATCGAATCACAACGTATGATGTATTTTATTTGTATCGTAAATCTAATGTAAATACGCAGAAAAAAGAATTGTAGGTATTTTGTGTAAATGCAATTGTAAATATATATAATTTAAGCGATAGCGTAATCGCTTATTAACAACATTGTCATTCCGACAGCGGCGTGCACAAAACTATTGTTTGTGATCTCGTAGTAATCAATAATCATGTAATATATCAATGTATCAATAGTGTATTCATGTATGAAAACGTGTCTGTTTTTTATGTTGCCGTCACACAACAATATACATAAAAATTTACATTAATCATTAGAAATGTCTCTTCATCTATCAAATCCTCGCATACAATTTTTCCTCTTCACATACATTCCATTATTCAACATCTTTATCCCAATTTTTACAATTAAAATTTAATCGAGGAAAAAAATTAAAAAACAATTAAAAAAAAAAAATTACTCTACTTCTTCGTTATCGAGATATTTCTCATTATGTATTCGTGAATAAGAAATCGAACGATCATCGTGTTGCTACATTGTTACACAAGAAGACAGTACCGGCAGATTCTCATCTATAGGTCAACAATGTATGTGCGGTCAGTCGGTCGGTCGGTCGGTCGACCAGCCGGTTGACTGTCAACTGATTCACCCATTTACACATTCATACGTCTCTGAGTACACACACACACACGTATCTACGCAAACATTGTTCCGAGTAATTAGGATGAAAGTGTACTACAAACTTAACGCTTTATGCGAAATAAACAGATAAACTATACCGTAAAACATTTGTTTTCGATCTAGATTCGAACTATATATAAAACTTTAAATTTTTTATATATCAAAGTTTTAAACAATTAATTCATCGAATTACGAATATATCGTATCATTTATGAAACAATAGAAATTGCATAATTTTAATATCGTTTAATATTCTCTCTTTGAATTATAAATAATACCTATATTTTGTTCAATAAAAACAAATTCCATGATTTACATAATTTATATCGAAACATTTCGGGTGGAGGAATGAATTCATCGATTGTTCGGGGATTCAATCGATGTTTCGCAATGTTCGCAACAAAGTTAAGACGTTTCGTTAAATCGAACTAAACAACGTTCACCTGGACGGAGAGATGGCAGATATACGAGGCAGAAAGATGTTGAAGACGTCGCGGCGTGTCGTACGCCCGACAAGTGGCGCGCATCACGCGATAACAGGGATAACGAGAAGGACAAGAACGACGAATAGGAGCACCACCGCGAGCACGTTCACAAGAATCGTGGTCGTGGTCGTCAGGAGTGTGGTTCGAACGAGAAGAGATATCCTCCGGTTCGTGAGGGACCTATATAACTGTACTGTGTGTCTGGGTCAGGGGGCGGGCCGCCACGTTTATAGTATACTCTCTATATTGGACAGGTGTACCCCATTCCGACTCCACGAGTTCTCGCGTGCACCATCGAGCCACAGCAGGCTGTAACGTGTCTTTCTAGCTGCCGTGACAGATATCGTGGTGCATCGCGGTAAACACGGGAAGATCAGTCGCGACGGGGACCCTCCGAGGACGGTTGACCACGGTCGGTTTGGAAGAATCGGAAATCGGCCGTAACTGGGTTTTCACGAAACGTCTCTCTCCGGCCCTACCTTCTCTACGTCGCTTTTGTCCCCGTTCTTTCGTCACTGAGATATCGGTCGTCGAGATCAATTGTCTTGTGCTTTAGATAGCCTCCGACCGCGCGGGTACGCGGAGATTTCTTGGCACATGGTGCTTCAATCAGTGCGGTGCATTGCTCGTATCTTTCTTCTTTTGCGCATCGCACGTCTTTGACACGGGATCTGCAAAAAAGGGAAGCCCTGCGTTTCGGCGTCTACCTCTCGATTGGACAAACGTAAGACAATTTATGATGTGCAATAATTTCAATAATTTGTCCCTAAATATATAATAGGGACGTACGAGAGTTTGACACTTGATGATAATCCATCTTTAAATAATACGAGGATAATTCTCGATTGAATTATTCAGATTCTAATTAAATCTACTTAATCGTTTTCGATCCGTGAATTGAGGTTATAATTCTTAGATTAGATTTCGTATACGTACTTGTCGAGCAACGATATTGTAAAGTATATAATTTAACGCGAAATCCAATTATCGGGGAACACTGTTGGTCGAGCAATCATTCAGCAAGTATTGCGGTTATTTAAGTTTCTTTGCGGTGCGTTAACAATGTCAGGTGGAACCGAATGAATTATACGATGTATGCATGTATGCCATAGGATATGCATCGCGTTATAGGCAACCACGTGGTTGGTGACCGCTTTCATTCTATCGCAACGTGCACGTGTGCGGCAACAGTTGACGACTGCTAGTCGACCAATAAGATTCGTCTTCCACGAAATCGGAAGATCAGAAGCAAGTGATTCGTGTAACGAATTTGCACGATTGATTTTAATTTACTTGTTTAATTTTTTCGCTCGAGATATTAGATTACACCCGGTTGTAGTAATACGTTCTGATGAAATGAAAAATTATTATTTAAATATAATTTAATAAACGTGTTTATAGAACGAATACGAACATTAATTATTTTCTCTGTTATTACATCGTCGATTAATATGTTATAAAAAGTATAAAACAAATTCGATCGAGATTATTAAATCGCGAATAACGATAGTCGTAAAATTTAATCTATAGAGAGGAACATGTATTTACCTAGGTTAAACTTTCAACGATAGATGATATTCATTCATTGTACATTATCGATAGCGATATCTACCGCTGATCAATCAGTAACACGACACCTTTACAAGGAAAGTGCATCGAATTGCCATCAAGTTGTCAGTTTGCTCCATTGCGTTCAATTACCATGCGCTTACCAGATTGCACGCTAGATATAGAATAACGTATACGTTAACTAACACGCCAAACGCGCTCAATACGAAAAATAAATTTTCTTGAATTTATTTACTTTGATTACCTCCATCGATGGTTATTCGACGATTTTTGATGATTGAAAGAAGAATTAATATATTATTTTATCGATAAACAATAAAAGATTGGACACGTTTCACAAATTTCCGTTACATCTTTAAGGAAACCAGAAGTAGAAATACGATCCGTATTGGCCATGCGACAATCGGAAAGAAAGAAAGAAAGAAAGAAGGAAAGAAGGAAAGAAAGGAAGGAAGGAAGGGGAACAAAAATATATTCGAAGCCTTCCTATATAGGTCATTATTAGCTACGCATTTATTATGCGAATGCCTGACTTCGGAATTACCACACCGCTGGAACCGTTATATGTATTTGGCACCATGCCACATCTTCGGCGTGCTCGATTCATGGTTAGCATGGAACAACGGACGTGTAAACAGCCGCCGGTGATTTTTATTCAACGGTGGCCTCGTAGTGAAAGAAAAAACAGGTGTCGCGATCTTCATCGTGGCATGAATCTCAAAGCGAAATAATAACTAATGTATGCCGGTAATAAATAAGCGTTCGTTAGATTTGCCGCGTTAACGGAATTCGAAATAGATTGCCGTTTCTCGGGAGGGGGGAGGATGGGTTGGCGGAGGGGGTGGGGAGGGGGGAGAAGGGAAGGGAAGAGAGAAATTATAGCGTCGTCTATGAAACGTCGTTTATGTTTAGATGATGGAGCGAACGAGGAGGAAGAAGTAATTTAATTTCATAACCGATAAAAAATAGGCATAAATATACATAAGTAGGTTTAGGAAGGTTATTTTTAAAAACTCGTCTCTCTCTCTCTCTCTCTCTCTCTCTCTCTCTCTCTCTGTCTGTCTCTGTCTCTACCGCGGTAAGAATTTTGTTAAACATTGGAAATTAAGTAGCGCCGAATCACAATAAAAATATTTTTGTAAAATATAAAAGTAGGTTTCAAGTAGGTTACCTCTTGGAGGAGAAATTACAAGTCGTCAAAGCAAATAGATAAACGACCGATTGAAATCCCGAATTGGCGATTTGTCGCGCGTATCGTCGCCTATTGTCTGACCTGAAATGGGAAATCTACCGGCTAGGATGATTTTAGCGTCGAACCCGAGTAAGTAGATTCGGTACGTACAATGAAGACCGACGGGTGAAAACCTACTTGCCTACATTCATCCGTCGATAGTCTCGTTGAACGAGTCATCTCATGAATTCGTCGCGTGTTTACAGCGGGGTTTCGAATCATTCGCCGCGTTAAATACAGCGAATTTGTTCCTCCTTTTTCAAGTATCCGTCCATTAACCGATCGTTGAAAACGATTCGGTTCGATCGATTCGGTTCTACCGATTTCGATTCTTCTTCTTTCCTTTCTTTTTTTTTTTTCTTTTCGCACGAACGAAAAGAAAGAAAAATTAGGAAAAATTATCGGGAAGGAAATCGATTTATCTTTTCGTTGCTCGATCGTTTCGCGCGATCGTGAATCGCGGAATCGGCGGATCGATTGGGAAAGAGAGCCGTGAACAACACGATTTACGATTATTTTCTGAAAGGATTTGACGAATTCGGTTCACGCGTGTAGTTATCGATCATGCCAGTCTGGTATCACGGAGCGCAACGAGGTAACGGAGTGAAAACCCGGACACTCCGACAGGAATTTGGGACAGGTGGCCTAGTGGTCGCATGAGGCGAGCGTATCTGATAATTGACGATTAAACACGAGCGAGGTGTCCAATGATGGACCGGTTCCTTCGTTTAACGTTCAATATTTTCTACTAACGATTCCTCGTCTCGTTTCTCTTCGTCACTACGTTCATTCAGATTTCCGGTAATATTATCCGCACAATTTATATTATCGTGAAATCCCGTGAACACTTTCTTCATATTTCCCTCCTTACCTTCGAAAAAACTTTTCCTTCCCTCTATTTTCTATCAATTATCCTAAAAGATGGAGTAAAAAAGGGAAATAATTATTTTTTTTCAGCGACCAATACGAAATACTTCACCGTGGACTCTAACGCGGTATGCGGTGGCGAATCTTCATTTTAACCTGTCTCCTACTAAAGGGGGTGAGTATATATAAAATAATATATAATCAGATTAATTTAATTAGAAGAAAGAAAGAAATCGTCACTCCGTTAAAACAACTCGAAAATAATATATAATATATAAATAAATAATGTTGGGAGAAAAGGTGCGAATCCTCGGTGGCGGTGAGAACCGAGATCCGTAGGTAAGGGAAACACGCGGTGTATCCGTGCGCTGCAAAGGGGGATAGGTCGGTATGTCCGCGCGGGTAATTACTACATTATAACCCAGATATCGCGGTGGGTACATAGGCTGCGATGCCGTTACCCAGTGCTCTGACCCAGAGCTAAGGGCGACTCGAGACCCGGTCGATGTCTCGAAATGGTGCGCGGTGCTCCGATCCGGCTCATCCACGTCTACTACGAAGTAACGTTTTATCGTCGGGCCTTCGCCACGAATCGGTCTTGCAGGATCGCGCGCAAAAATCGCGCACGAAACGACCGGTTCCGTGATCCCACCTTCCCACCCTGCATTCTTTTGGGGACCGACACGATTTCGATTCGCTTCTTACTTCTCTCTCTCTCTCTCTCTCTCTCTCTCTCTCTCTCCGTCGTTACTTTGGGCGGAACGTTCATTCTTGCGCCGCGCCAACATTTTAAATATTTTCGTGTCACCGGTTTAAAATGAATGACCGGCGACACGTGTCATTATCGCGTTGTCAAACACGGAACATAATTTAACGTGTTCGTAAATTAAACGAACGGGGGATTTTATATCTTCGTCACGATATTATATCTTGCGTATAATCTTACGTAGGCATCGTACGTTGGAGCGCGATAGTTCTTGCAACAGACTCGGCCGAGTGAATGAAGCCGACCAAGAATGAATGAAATACCTTTCTAATAGGATAGGAGAGAAGTTGTTGAAGCCGCAACATCTCGCCACGACGTTTATTATCTTTCGCGACTACCGTGATTTCCAGTTTTTCTTCCATCCATATCTATATATATATACTTATATATATATATACATATATATATATATATATATATATATATAAATATATAATTATGTATATACCCGTGTCGTCGATAATTATTTTTCAAACTTATATCGTCGTACGATTGACGACATCGTTACGCGATCGTTACGATCCCTAATGAAACGATTGGCGATAATTTAGCCCGGAGATTAAATACGCGTTAAGAAGGACGGGGCGGAGGCGAGGGGAGGGGGAGTCGTCGTCGAAATCCATCATCATCATCCGGATTCGTTCGTTCGAGTGACCTAGCATCTTAAGCGAATAATTAAATTAAGCACCTTTTCGTCGAATTTACGGGGACGACGCTAGGTTAGGCTAGGTAGCCGCGATAAGATAAGATGGTTAAGAGAAGGAAGGGAGAAACGGAAAATAAATCGAAACGCCGTATATAAATATATATATATATATATATATCTGAAGCGGCGAGCTGGCCGATTGACCTGCGGCTAAAGACACGGGTGGTCCGTTATGCCCCAGGGTCACGCGCGAGGCAATCAGCCACTACACACAGTGTGCGCAGTGTGCCCGACTGTTGCTCCTATTTCATCGTTTGGCCGCCCGCCCTTCCCCTCCCCACCCCTGCCGTGCCCCGCCCCCTCCACCGAGCCCGTCATTCGTCGAACAGTCGGGAACGGGTTTTGTCTCGATCTCTCGTCGAGGCTGTTGTCTCCCGGCCGGTAATATCGGCCGGTGGAAGGAATGCACGCGACCGGATAACTCTTTCAACGGATTCGTTCGCCTCGTGAAACGAAACGAATCGAGAGCCGAATGTAGCACGCGTCCAATCATTTTCCTCTCGAACATTCAAACAACATTCCTCTCCTCGTTCCACGTTACGAGTAATAACCCGTAATAAAATTTGACGCGTGTCGTGCCTACGCGCGACCCAAATGATCGGGGAGGTCAGAGTTAAATTCTTGAATCCGTTTATCCGCGCGATAAATATATTCGATAGATATAAAAATGTAAGTAAGATGGGGGACACGATCGAGAGGACGGACGGTTGCGGTGAACGCAAAGGGGGAGCCGTTTCGCTTCACTGGCAGCTCGCGACCTCTCTTCCGCGAGTCCGTAAATTATGTAGTCCGACAACGTCAATCTACTTTCACGCTTTCTCGCCGTTTGTTCCCTTTCCCTCCTCGGCGGGAGAGGAGGACCTCTCCCTACCTCGGCGCGAGGAAGGAAGAAGGAAAGCGGTCGTTTCGTTCGCTCTCGGAGACACGCGTAGCACGCATGCGCACACGTTTGATGTTTGGTGTGTTCGCAGCTGGGCCGAGCGGAGGATGTGGAGGTGGTGGAGGCGATTCCAGGCGAGGACAATCGGAACGACAACTCGGCGTTGAACAGGCAGGACAACGACATAAACAGCTCGGACCAATTGGCGTTAGAATCGTTAGGGGAGAAGGACGCGGGTGGGAATCATTACGGGAAGCCGGGCGGTCTTCGAGGTCATCCCCTTCCCCTCGCGCCGAATCGAGCCGGGCTCGGGCTCCCGCACCCGAGGCCGCACCACAACGTGGCGTACCACGGCCCGCCCCCACCCCTGCCGCCGTCCAAGGCCCCGTCCGAGACGATCGACAAGATCTACACGACGGGGGGCGGAGGGATTAGCACGGCGGTTGGCGCCGAACCGTGGCCCGCGCCCACGCCCGACATGCCCAAGATCATCTCGTTGGACGTGAAGTGCGAGAAGAGCCTGATGAAAGTTTACCTAGGCTTCGACAAACCGTTCTACGGTATAGTGTTCAGCAAAGGGCATTACAGCAACGTTAACTGCGTCCACTTGCCGGCCGGTTTAGGGCGCACCTCGGTCAACTTCGAGATCAGTATTCACGCGTGTGGCACGGCCGGGAACACGGAGAACGGTTTGTACGGGTACGGGGCCGAGTCCGGGTCGGGGACGTACTTCGAGAACATTATCGTGGTGCAATACGATCCCCAGGTCCAGGAAGTTTGGGACCAAGCGAGAAAGCTGCGATGCACTTGGCACGACTTGTACGAGAAATCCGTCACGTTTCGCCCGTTCCCCGTCGACATGTTGGACGTGGTGCGGGCAGATTTCGCCGGCGACAACGTCGGTTGCTGGATGCAGATACAGGTGGGCAAGGGGCCGTGGGCGTCCGAGGTGTCGGGCCTGGTTAAGATCGGCCAAACCATGACCATGGTGCTCGCGATCAAAGACGACGACTCCAAGTTCGACATGCTCGTGAGAAATTGCATGGCGCACGACGGTAAACGGGCGCCGATTCAACTGGTCGATCAGAGGGGTTGCATCACCAGGCCCAAACTTATGTCCCGATTCACCAAGATAAAGAACTTCGGCGCCTCGGCCTCGGTCCTCTCCTACGCCCATTTCCAGGCGTTCAAGTTCCCCGACTCGATGGAGGTCCACTTTCAGTGCACCATACAAATATGCCGCTACCAGTGCCCGGAGCAATGCTCCGAGTCACCTTTGCTTCTCGAGTCCCAAGGCCTTCTCGAGAATCATCATTCTCCCTCCAGTGGCCACCCTGATTCCGGCTACGGCCTTCCGCCCCCCATCCCCCTTCCGCTCGAGGCTTATTTGCAGGCGGCCGCTGGACGCCCGCGGGACGAAAGGCGGAGGAAGTCCCGCGAGATAATACCGGCTCCCCAGAAGGCGGTTGGAGTGAATCGGATAATACGAGTCGTCTCCACGGGCGACCTCACCTTTTCCATCGACGAGTCGAGCAACGGTGAATTGGGGGGATCGACCATGGTTTTCCCCGTTCGAAACGAGAGCGCGTCCAACGCTGCCATGATATGCATGACCACCCTGGGCTTCGTCGTCACCCTAATTATACTTCTGGCCGTCCTGCTGTTCTCCTGCGTACTCTCCACCTACCTCTGCCTGCGCCTAAGACCGTTCTCAGGGAAATCCAGAAAGATCGCCACGTATCACAACGGGGAACAAAACGCGCCTAAGAAGTCCACCAGGACGTGTTTTTACTCATAGCTTCTTTTTTTTTTTTTTTTTTTTT